CGTTGCAACGTGTGGTCAAGTGTCTTGAAGCCTGAGTGACGTCAGCCATCTGTTACAGCACGGGGGTCTGGAGTCTCATCAGCAGCAGCCGCCATGATGGAAATCCTGTCTCAGCCTAACTTTCTGTCAACCTGACGAGAGGCTTAGAGCCGAAGCTGAGGCGGGTTTTAAAGGCTTTATATGCGATTTTTTCATTCAGCAGACGTCGCCCTTGAGCACCAGCATGAAACCAAAACAACTTGCGCTGCATTGTTGTGTTAGCATGCTAATGCTAGCGATCTTTATTCTGCTGGTATCTTCACACTGCATGTAAATTTACCTGAAATGAGCGTGATCTAGAAACACAGTTAAGCAGTGAGTACAGTATGTTATTCTTCTTTTCTCTAGTCCCTCAATTAAACAACTTTTATACACGAGGGGAGGAGTCAGCCGGCCGTCCTGGCGATGTAAACAAAGTGAAGATAGGACTCTGAAAACTCTGAAAACAACACAGACAGTGGGACTCGGGTGTTACACCCATTGTAGACAGTCATGACTCACAGAGTTATTTTCAGAGGATATACTTGATTTCTACATTTAAGTGTGAAAATCACATAGAAAGACTTTAATTTGATCTTATTATTGAGCTGTCAGTCAACCTTTTCCCACTAATGAACAAAAGCTCAATCTTAAGAGGTAGACGATACATTTTGCAGATACTTACTGTTTTTATCACGACTTACTGCCTCAAGTGTTTTCAAAGACATAATAAGCTTAGAAAATCTCATGTTATGATCTGAAAATATTATGATCAGGGCTATGACTGTTTTCTATAAGACTTAGTTAGTCACAGTTAAAGAAACGTATTTCTTTAATGCAGTATATCTTTCTCTCTCTTTTTCAAGTGAAGCTCAATCTGTCCTCGGGGATGCTAATTTGTCACAGCTGAGAGATCAGCACAGCACCAAAGAACTTTCACATGTGCAGCATTTCCCCCAGGAAGGTCGTTTTATCTCACGACCCCATGTGCTAAGCTGCTGGTGTTCTGACCGGGAAGCAGGTACTAAGATCTGCTGCCGGTGGGGGGGGGGGTTCTTGGGGAATCTGGGTCACTAGACTAGACATAACATCCTCACTGGATGCTTGGTTGTGATTCAGGAGCTTTTTTGATCATGAGTAGGAGGTAATTTTGTCCTTGACTAAATTTGAAACACTTGTGTCTTAATGGCTTTCAGGTTGAGATCCTTTAAGTCCTGATCACTTCACAGAAGATTAACCTCGAAGCAAAGTTCAGATATTATAATCCTGAGCTGAAACCATAAACATAACTGCTTCCCCTCTGTGTGATCTTTCCATCTCACTTTTTACCATTTCTAAGCCAAGCTTGGCATCAGGCCTCTGCGGCGTCATCCAGCAGCGCTCAGCACCATCATGTCCTTCTATGGAGAATAGAAGAGACCGGCGCAGAGGGCCTTTAAGGATACAGCTTCTGACAGCACCGACAGAAGTGACCTACAGAGCTCAAAAAGTGGCACTTTTCTGTCCCCTTGTGGCTGCAAGATGTACTGCACACAGATCATTCTTTCAAGTTTTTATCTTTTTTTTAAGAGTCATGCAAAAGTTTTGGAAATGTACATTTTTGATTATACCACATGTAGTGTAGTGAGGCTGCTTCTTTAAAGCAAGTTGTTGTTTTTTTTTTACATTTCAACTTAAGTAACAAATGATTCTCTGTGTTTTTACCTTATACAGACACCTTGGTAATTTGCTACTGCATTAAGGAGAAAAGTAAATATTAGTGTAAAGTTACATTTCGATATAAAACCATCCACATTAATGGTTTGATAGCACAAATGAGCTATAACATCACAATGTTGTAATACTTTTGTATACTGTCCTTGTGATGACTTCAAATTATTTAGTATTCCATGTTTAAAATGAAATTGCATATGACTAATATATTCTTGTAGAAAAAACTGAAATGATTTGGGCAGGGAAAAAAGTTTAACATGAGTTTAAGAGACGATAAAAGAGATATAAGACTGGCCTTATATCCATCTCATGTATGAGGTTTAGTTTAAATTAAAGGGACAGTGACCTCTAGTGTCATCTAAGTGTTAGGTTTTTTTACCCTACAGTTACATAACTCAACATGAGTCAGTTAAATTACCCTTCTCATAAAGACAGATACAAGACAAAATTACAACCTGGAACCAAATTTGAAAAGGACTAAGGGCCTGACTAAAGTGCATTTAAGAGTTTACCCAAGAGGACCTGGTAGACCTACTTGATGTAATTTTGATGTAATAGCTTTTTGCAGCCACAGGGTGGCAGAAAAGTATAGCAGAACAGGACTCAAGGAATATTTTTCTGAAATTTTTCTCTAATTGATTTGTATTCTAAACATTAGAAAACCTCTTTCATCATGAAATTTTGAAACCCCTTTTACAAATGTTTGTATTCTTTAAAAAGGAAAGGAAGAAACTCTCAGCTATGGCAAGAGAAGTACACTTCAGTAGAAATTCTTGTTAATAAAATTGAATCAAAAAAACTAAAAACTGCAAAATAATGAAATCTGAAAAGCTACAAAAATTAAATAATAGTCAGTAGGCGTAATGTCGTATTTGATAAACTGTTAATTCCAATGACTGATTATTTTCTGTTCACTTTTTGATTCACAAACTGTTGAGTTTGAGTAATTCAACCATGTGTCCAAAAGAGGTTTTTATATCTTAATGGCCTATACATTATTCAGTAAGACTCTGAGTCTTAGATATACATACATTCACGGTGAAATAAAGCTGTAGTCTTAAATAGTCTGAATAGAAGAAGTAATTCAAGAGAAGAAGAAGAAATGAAGAACCAAAAACCTTGTTGAAGAATAATAAATATTGAATAACAAGTTGTGCATGCAGATAGCTATAGAACTAGCTCTATCAATAAATGGCTTCCTGGAAAAGTTAGATAACTAGGAGTAATTTAATGCGCTTTTAATGAGTTCTCTGAGAGGATTCTCTGAATGTTTGGCATTCACCTGTGTAGGAGCAAGAGCCAGTCTGTGACAAATAAAAACCATTACCAGGTCTGGATCAGGATTGCATATTTTAGTTCTGCCTGTCCTGTGGCTTTTTATAATAAGATTTCTTAGGAAAACAAGGCTCTATTACTGTAACAAGGGCTTGACATTAAAATGCATGACGTCATTTACACCAAAAACTCCACTAATTGAGGATAACTGCCAATAAACAAAACAAAGAAAAAGGGGACAGCTACTCACAATCACCAAAGACTTCAGCTTGGCAATGGTAGAGTTAAACGCTTGATGGTTAAAGGCTTTGTATGTGATTTTTTGATCCAGCAGATGTCGCCCTTGAGCACCAGCATGAATCTAAAACAACTCGCGCTGCATTGTTGTGTTAGCATGCTAATGCTAGCGATCTTTATTATGCTGGTATCTTCACACTGCATGTAAATTTACCTGAAATGAGCGTGATCTAGAAACACAGTTAAGCAGTGAGTACAGTATGTTATTCTTCTTTTCTCTAGTCCCTCAATTAAACAACTTTTATACACGAGGGGAGGAGTCAGCCGGCCGTCCGGGCGATGTAAACAAAGTGAAGATAGGACTCTGAAAACTCTGAAAACATCACAGACAGTGGGACTCGGGTGTTACACCCATTGTAGACAGTCATGACTCACAGAGTTATTTTCAGAGGAGATACTTGATTTCTATTATATTTAAGTGTGAAAAATCACATATAAAGACTTTAAGCAGATTTTATCTAGCATCATTATGGAAACAACAATAGGCACAGCTCATGTTGCTACAGCTAACTTTGGCCCCAGTAATAAAGCACATGCTGGCTTAGTTAGCTTAGTAGTAGTAGGCTAAGTGGCTTACTTCAGCTCACAATGCTACCTTACCCTTTACCTTCTGTGAATGCTACTTTTTTAGAAACCTTACAACAAACAGGTCAACCTCATCTCTTGCGCCAATGACAGTACCACAAGTTTGTAAAATTTCAAGATTTGTTAAATATAACCTACTTTTAAGTACGACGGAGAATTAGAGGCATGTTCAATTTTTTTATTTTTTTTATTTCGAGATTAAATTCGTAAATTTACGAGAATAAAGTCGTTAATTTACAAGATTAAACTCGGAAATTTCCGACTTTAATCTCATAAATGTTTTAAAAAACAATATTTATTGCATGAATTACTTAAATATAATGTCATTTTGCAGGTTTAATAATCAAGTTTGTCCTTTTAATGGATCCTTTCAGGGAGTTTTCAACTGTCTTTTGTGTGTGAAACTCAGAAAGTGAACCTCAAATGACACTCCCTATTAGAAACTTGTCTCAGGTAAGCAGGTCAGGACACCGCTTAAAAAAAAATGTTTTAAAGTCAGTTCTCTTTGACCTGTCAGGGATGTCAGCACAGCGAGGAGGTTCCTGGTTTGAATCCCCGTCTGAGAGGAGCCTCTCTGCGAGGGAGTTTACATCTTCTTCCTGTGCATGCACACGTGCATTCTGTGTGAATGTGAGTGTGGCTCATCATCATCAACCTTTATTTAAGTTCTCGGAGAGATCATTGAGGGGCGACCCCCATTTACAATGATGCCGAGAAAACAACGAGAAATGAGATAAAGCTACAACAGAAAATAAAATAAATAAAAGAGCAATAAGAACAATAAAATATATACACTAAAATAATTTAAAAGCTTAAAATTACTACAGTGATAAGTCAGTAATTAAAATCAAATAAATCAGTTACAGTCAGGTATTTCGGGCGGTTCAAAAGTGTCCATAAGGGATAAAAGTGCTCAAGTTCAGGTCCTGTTGTAAAATATTCCAGGAGGCTGTATGTCTCTGTATGTCAGCTCTGTGATTGGCTGGTGAAGAGTCGCCTCTCGCCCAAAGACAGCTGGGATCAGCTCCAGATCCCCCCGTGACCCCGAATGAGAAAAAAGCAGTTAAGATAATGGATGGATGATATCTACTACACAAACCAGACACTTTGACAATAGACACTTTATTTTCAACATGAAAAATAGATAGAAGATCTTACAGTAACATTCATAAACTCAAACTTCTTCTGTTGTTTTTCAAATATACATTCTTTTGTCTTTTATGTACAAACAGACAGCAGCTCTGTAAATGGCACGACACAGAGAAAACAGATCACCCACTGTAACAGAGTCTTAAAACACATTACAGCACAAAGTACAAAATGACTTTCTTTGGGTTGGCGGCAGGCGAGTTAGTTCATGCAGATGTTGCGCAAGCTTCCCCCACACATAAATGCAATTTACTCTGCGTCAAAAATATTACCTTCAGTTTACTCACAGATTGCGTCTGTTTTCATCATTAACTGGTTTAGTCACAGCATCATCTTTGAAGTGACATCCAGGGGTTTTGCCTTCACTTCACAGTTTAATGTGCTTTGAGAAAAACCGCACATTATGAGCTTCTTCCTCCCTGGCTTTTTTTGTGCGCTTATTTATTCTCTTTGAACCTCTTTTCATGTGCTGAAATGATGCAGCAGATATAACCGATAACTTGTTTTCTACATCATGATGGCAGTGAGTGAATAGAGAATCAGACAGCATTACCACATTCATGAATCTAAGATGTTTCCACCTTTTAAAAGCTGTTAGTATGAGATGTTTGAAGTCACAAGAATACCTCCTTTGCTGCTTTCCTTCCGGACGATCAAATCTCTGCTTTGTACAGGTCACCTGCTGACTCTCACCCTGAGCAGTGATTACACATTTTTCCACTGGCCTGACCTTCATTGTGAATGTGTGAGTGCAATGTTCTCAGATGCAGAGGGGCAGTGTGGCACAGTAGAATCTGGACTTTAAAAGCCCCCCTGAAGAAATAAGTTAACGCCTTTCAAATGAGGCTTGTGCTCTCCTGATGTCTCTCACACAGAACACAATAGCAGCTTTGATGAATGGCAAATTGCAACCGCACGTAAGTTAAGATATTTTTTTTTTTTTGAAATCTTGATCTCCAGCCGCTTCAAGTCTGAATGGACATATGCAAATCGGCATCGCTGAATCACGTCACAAAAGCATTTCAACGTGCACATTTTTCATTTGAAAGCAGTCTGTTTGAGAATCGCAGCAGCGGGGGATTTGCCGTCTTGCGTTTGAGCCGCGAGTTGCCTCGTGCTCTGGACAGTTCTGAACTGAGGCAGGTACAGCGGAGAGTAGACGCATGTTGGCGGCGGCAGAAGCTGACCGAGCTCGCTCGAGTCCTCCGAGCCTAGAAGAGGGTGTGACTCGACGGAGCAGTCCTCTCTGTTCAAAACAACATTTTTAAGCAGCTCATTTTTTGTCCCTTCCTCTCTCTGCTCATCGTCGTCGTCCTCGCTCTCCTCGTCCTCTCCTCGATAGTCCATCCCTAAATAGAACAAGTCCTTCTGCTCTCTCGTCCCCCCCTCTCCTTCGTCCTCCTGCTCTGACGTTTCAGAAAGCTCCTCCACAGAGTTGTATGAGCAGGAGCGGCGCGGGTCGTCCAGCTCCCACAGACCGCCGGGGAACGACCCGGAAATGTCCGAGTTGTTGGCAGAGAAGTTGCCCTCGTCGCTGGAGCTGCTGCCGCTGCCGTCCTTGTAGTGGAGACGATCCTGCTTGTGATCTGAGAGCAGCACGGTGGCGTATATGACTGAAGACTGGGCAGAGATGTCAGCACTACCTGGGGGATCGTCTGTTAGCTGTAGCTGATCTGTTCTTGGGTTGGAACCGGTTAAATCATCGATATTAAGAACAAAGGAAGGCGCTCCATTTAACACTAAGTCGCTCTTCTTAGTTTGGGCTTGTTTGTCCGCTGAAGGGGACGTGGTAGTGACTGCATCAGGAGTGAGGGACACACGAGGAGCTTGGACTAAAGCTGTGGTCAGAGCTGAGAGATCAACGTTGTCTAAAATGACCACTTTGGAAATGTTCTCCGATGGCAGGAGCAGCGGCCAGGCTGGGAGACCCTCTGGATGCTGGAACAGTCGGTCAAAGGTGTCAATCTAGAAAGAGAAGCAGAAATACAAGACACAGTATTAATACTAGTGGAATAAACGGCTAATACATACAGAACATATGAGCAACAGGAGATTATAATAAAAACTAAAAGGCCACTTGCCGAAAGCTTGAACTTTTTGACCTCTTCAAGCCTTTCACTCTAAATGCAGCTTGATAGTTGGTGAAGTTGTGCCGTAAAGCCTTACTCAAGATCAATATCATCTCTCATGTCTCTCATCCAGGTCTACACTCCCTCCCCCCTACGCTCTGCCAATGAAAGGCGTCTGATCCAACCTTCACAACAGGGTCCTAAGTCTCTGACTAGACTCTTCTCCTCTGTCGCCCCCCGGTGGTGGAATGAACTTCCAAACCTCCATTGGATCTGCAGAGTCCCTCTGCACCTTTAAGAAAAAGCTGAAGACCCAGCTCTTTCATGAATACCTACTAACTTACTACCTACTAACAAAGCTGATCGTTTGCTCTTACTCACATCGTTCCCTTTTTTCTAGATCCTTCCTTGTGTTGTTCTTACTCTCTGATGTACGTCGCTTTGGATAAAAGCGTCTGCTAAGTGAATTGTAGAATTGTAGAATTGTAACCCATGCAGTAAGGGCTGATTAGCTTACAAAAGCTTCCCTGTGTTAGTCAGGGTAGCATTTGACTTTCTAAAGATCAGTGAGTTCCCCCAGTTTACTGTCATTAAACTAAGCTATCTGTCTAGATGTTTCAAAGACTGATTTTCATCTTCTCATCCGAGCTGCAAACTCTGGTGTTGAAAAAGTGCAAAAATTAAGGCTGGCTCATGAAGTTCAGAGATCCACATCAAATGTCAATTTTGACAGTAGACCTTTACATGCTGACAGCCTGGTAAAGGTTTTGGTCAGAATTGTTCTTTTCTTTGTTTGTACCGATGTTAGGGGGGAGAGAGTTTTTTTTCTCCATATTTTGATGCAAATGAGGAGTTGACTTCATTCCAACTCTTGAGATGAGGTTAAAAGTTTTTTGGGTTTTTTTTTGGGGGGGGGGGGCAGTGGATAGAGTAGGAATTCAGGAGAGAGAATGACGTGGGAAGGAGCCGCAGGTTGTCGACTTGAACCCGGGCCGTCCGCTAGGCCATTTGCACCTCAAGAGATAGCAGGTTTTTTTGTTTTTAACTGGTAGGATTTTTTCCCTCCCAGATCTAATATAATGTCCAAAATGTAAGATATTTATCATGCATGCTGTCACACTCAAGAGCAGTCAGTGTGTTGTGTTTGGATACATGCTGCTGAAGTTTCACAATATTTCTTACCTTCTTGAGGTCTAGTCCTTTGGCCCAGGAGCATTTGTTGGGGTTGGGCACATCCTTCCACACAAACTTTTTCATTCTGCAGAGAAACACAGCAGATGTTTAGGCTTCATTACTCCTTCTTAAGACTTTTTTTCCTGCCTCACTCATCTCACCTTCCAATCAGATGTCATCAAATGTAATTACACCTTTGTGACCCTTTAAATGTCGTTCTCCTGATTGCACACGGTGAGTGTCGCTGCCCCCTTGATTAAACTCAGCCCCACATCCACCCCACCATTAATAATTTTCTTACAGGTGTCATCAAACTCTTTCACCACAAGAGGTTTGATATGAGGATTTTCTGGGTGCAGCAAATTCTGTGGCTGAACATTTAATCTTTGTTTTTTTGGAAATGAAATCATTTCAGTCCTTTTTTTTAACAAAGCAGGAGCTCTTACTGGTTTTGGGAGAGGACCAGGGTGACAAACAGGACGATGGAAAGGAAGGAGACAATCATGAGCATCATGTAGGCTGCGGGGTCTCCTCTGGTAGCTGATGGGAGAAAAAAACAACGTAGTTATAATTTATAAAAAGATTAAATACTGTTGTTTTTTTTCACTTGTAACACTGCTGTGATACTGTCACAATAAAGAAACTTACCTGTAGTGTACACTGGCTCTCCTTCTCCATCAGCAAACACAGGGTACATGTAGAAACCACACTCCTCAGAGTCAAAGAAATCACCTGAGGGGATACATAAAACCACGTTACCCTTTAAGTTCAAATCAAAATAATGAATAGCAAACAAACAGAGAAGACATCATGTTACCTTTCAGGTAAACGGGGCGTTCTGTGTAAGGCAGTCTGGCCCATGTTTCTCCACTTAGGCCTTTGTGATGATCAGAGTCCTTCTGGCCCTGAGGAGACCACTGGACCACCATGAACAGAGGCGCAGAGCTGTTGTCCAACAGAGTCCATGACAGAGACACATAGGTGCTGTTGAGGACCAGCACGCTGAATGAGCGCACACATCGGCCTACGGGACAGAGAGGGGCAAGAATACCCTGTTAGAAAGTGACCAGAGGTGGCAGTAGTACACACATTTTTCACATTTCACATTTTTCACAGGCACTTTTCATTAAAATGACTGTTGGGCCTCAGTTTTGTTGTTTTATTTTGGTTATATTTCCCTGATTTCAGGGTGGTGCCCCCGAGTTGATTAAACATAGTTAAATGTTATTGTTATTTATATGAATAATAATTAAATATAATTATTAAAGAATGTAACCAAAGTTGACTAGATAAAACCCCAACATTACTATACTGATATTTAAATAAACAAATGAAATGTGTTCTTATTATAAAAGTACAAAGTAAACAGATGAAGTACACAAGTATATGTCCTGCTTGTTTTGATGCCTCAGATCATAATGTTGTGACAACTCAACTTAAGTTATTCAAGCCTCAAATCAAAGAAAAGAACAGACAAACCAAAAATAACTAACACTAGTTTTCTCCAATATGAAAAGCCCCCGAAAGGAGGAATTTCTCTTCTCTGAGTTCCCTCTCTTGTCTGTCGTTTCTTTTACATTTATTTTCTGTCTGTCATGTATGGTCCATTTGTTATTGTCTCTCCTGTTTTGGTCTCAATGTTGGGAAAAGAGGACACAATGATGCATGTTAAAACAGTTGATTCCCCTCAAATGAATAAAAGCTAAAGCAACAAGCCTGTTTTGAAAATATAATAATATAATAATATAGGATCTCAGACTACCTACATCAGTATCTTCTTTTAATTCATTTTTAAAAACAAATTTTTATCCTAAGGCTTTCTTATAATCCTTGTTTCATCCATGATGTTTTATTTGTTTTACTGTTAACTTTAGCCAATCTTTGTCTCGGTTGTTTCTCTTTTCTCTGTTCATTGGATGATTGCTGCACTGTTGTTTTATTTTTCATGCTTTTTTAAAAGGATTTTTGTGTATTTGACTGTTGGGATTTTTCTTTTTTCTGTAAAGCACTTTGTGATGTTGGTTTTTACAAGTGATTTATAAATAAACTTTATTATTATCATCATTATTATTATTATTATTATTATTATTATTATTATTCTGAGCTGAAAGATGCTAAAAGGCTCTGAACCACCGAAATGAACTGTGCAGTCAGATGGCAATCATGTGTGAGTGTTTCCCAATCAGTGAACCTTTGTTAAAAGACATTTTGACTCAAAAAAAGGACCACAGTAACTAAAGGCCCCCTCTCTGGACTTTGATCTGATTCTGGGTACGGTTAAAAGACCTGAGGGTCCGGGTTGGGTTGTAGTCTGAGCAGGCCAGAAATGTACGGAGGAGCTGAACCATTGAGTGCTTTATGGACTAAAAGTAGGATTTTGAAGGTGATTCTGTGTTGTACGGGGAGCCAATGGAGAGTTTTGAGGACTGGAGTGATATGATCAAATTTTCTCGTACGGGTCAGAACTCTGGCTGCTGAATTTTGAATAAGTTGAAGTTTTGCTGCAGATTGTTTGGATAATCCGGCATTCAGAGCGTTGCCATAATCTAATCTAGTTGTGATGAAAGCATGGACTAATTTCTCGGCGTCAGTTTGGGAAATGAAGGATCAGAGTTTTGATATGTTCTTTAAATGGTAAAATGATGTTCTGGTAAGGTTGGAGATATGATTGTCAAAGCTAAGGTCAGAATCCAAAATAATGCCAAGATTTCTGGCCTGCTCGCTGTATTTCATGGACATGGATTTGATAAAGAGACAGGTTAAAGAAAAAAAAAGAAAACAATGAATTTGAGTCAAGAAACAGAGAAATGCAGATTCTGACTGAAAGTTCACTGAATGGTTTGCTCATTATGATGTAGATGGTACGCTTTTTACATCAGTTCAGCTAATTCATCCAGCTGCTAATAACACTGAGAACTAGATTTCTTAGAATACTTGTGTCTGAAAACATCAATTTGTTTCTGCCGGTTAGTAATTTCATGGAAATATTCTCCCTAAATCACGAGTAAAAAAGAGACAAACAAAACAACTGCCCGTCAAAACATGCATCTCAGTGTGTCACACAGAGAACCTTTAATCATTGAAACCTCTGCTGCTAATGCTTTTACTGCAGTGGAGCTAATGGTAGCAGTGCCTCGATCAGAGCATTAATGGGCTCTTCAGAGGTATGTTTTAGGGCTAGATGGACGGCTGTTTATGTCCCCGATGTTGGCTCACAGTTTTCCATTTTCTTTTTACGTCATTGTAGAAGTAAACTAACAATATTGGAAGTAATAACAGTAAAAACAGATTTGAGAAACTTCACAAGGCTGTTTCTTCAGTCTGATGTGGGATTTATAGGGCCGATAACGATAAGGATATTAGGAAGATAAACAAAGTGTCACACTGATATAGCGGCCGATATCTTTCTTTCCAGTCTTGGACTTGTAGAGACATCATTTTTCTTTGATTCCTTAAAATGAAGTTATCTAAGACTTGTGGAAAAGATAAGGACAGTATAAAGAAGACAAGATGGTCATTTAACTGGAAAGTAACTGAGCATGTACGTGCATCACAGCTTGACACACTGGAGAGTGATGATGCTTAAACAACTGACGGGAGTTTAACAATCACAAGCTACCTCATGCTCAGTTTTTGCACAGTTTAAATTTTGTATTTGCACTCTATTGCCTTCAAAATTGCATTATTTCTTTGTATATTTTGTATATTTGTATATATTATTATTCTTTTTATTATCATTATTATTTTTATTTGGCTATGTTTGATTTGAATATTTTATTGTTGGCATTCATTGTGGGCGGCAAAGAAAGAATTTCATTGTACAGGGAAACATGTTTCCTACTGTGCACATATAAACATTTTGAATCTTGAATCTTATTATGCTTGTTGTAAGCCATAAAGCGCCCTCTGCTGGTGACAGCTAGAAAGAGAACATCTAGTGTGAAACAATGAGACTCAAATTAACTGATTTTTTACTGGTGAACAAATCTACTAATATCTACCGTTAGTCACTTGTTATGCTAATATCAGCCGATGTTATCAGCTGGAAACTTCAGCTTACTTTGTGTTTTTCAGCAAGTCAAAAGCCCGAAATAAGCACTTTCTATTGCCTTGTTGCTGAAATGTGCTGTATAAATCTATTTGACTTGAGTCGTAAGTGTTAGCAGCACTGATCATTCATCAGACTGACCGTAACTTCTTTTCTTTGGAGACCATTTTTTTTCACACTGCAACAAAACCCCTCTGATCTCAGCTACAGCTTCCATGTCTGTCTTTACTGGAACATTAGAGCGTGTTAGAGACCTGAAGAAACTCTCTGCTACTTCAGTCTTTAAATATGAGTCTGTTTGAGTTGCTCTTGTTGCTCTGATGTATATTTTATAGTTTGAGATGTGAGTTTGTAATTTGCACAGATATTTTTAAGGCACATATTTCTGTGTTATATCTGTGACATACATATTTTTAAACTGCCTATCTTAGAAAAAAAATGTAAAATTAATTTGGTTTTCCTGTTGAAGTAGGTTAGAAGGCAAGGAAACAAATATCTTACTTGGCTAACATATTGTCTGAGGTTCAGCTAAAGGTAATCTGCTTATCATCTATTTTCTAAACACTAATTAGCCATTTAGTCAATAAAAAGTACAAAAAAAGTGAAAATCTGAATAAAAATTTTGCAAAACCAAATCTTTAACAAAAACAACAAAATAACATTTTTTTATCCTCAGGAACTAAAAGGTATGTGTAAGAGGATATAGAAATATTATCCTTCCTAATAGGTCAGAAGAAACACTGACGTTTGGGCTGTCTCTCCAGCGTCATGTTGAAGTTGTTTGTGGAGCTCCCCAGACTGTTGTAGGCCTCCACAGTCACAGTCTGAAGCGACTGGTCCCACTCAAAGCTGAAGGAAGACGCCACATCCACCTGCTCCCTCGTCATATAGCCGCTCGAGGTCTGGTGCTGGACTATGAATCCATCCACGCAGTAAGAGTGTCCTGATATCTGGAGAGGCTGAGGGTGGAAAAAAAGCAGAAAAGCCCACATTTTCATTTAACCATCAGGCATCAGTTTAATTTACTACCCTCTCAAGTCACTAAGGACAAAAATGTCTACTTCTATATCTATGTCTATAAATTCTCTAATTCTCTAATATTCTTTGATATTTTTGAGCAGGGCTGGAGTTGTTTAAGAGATTTATGCAAAAAAGAAAAACATATGAATCTGTTTCTATTTTTAAAGCAGTTTTTGTAAATTGGACATTTTCGCCCTCTAATGTCCAAACAGGGAACTACATTTTAAATCTGATGCTACACAAAAACTAACAATGCATCAAAGTCAATATTTTGACATATCCAAGACTGATTAAAAAAAAATCCCCCAGCCACCAAATATTTGTTTTATGGAAAATAACTAATTTTTGTGTTTTTTTCTTAAATAACAACAGTGACATCAAGTAATCAAACTGGCATTTAAAGGGTTAAATTCCTAAAAATGATTGAATGTTTGGTAGTTTTGAGCAGGGCTGGTGTTGTTTAAGAGATTTATGCAGAAAAAAGTAGAAAAAAACATCAATCTGTTTTATTTTTATATCAGTTTTTTGTTAGTGGACATTTTTGTCCTTAGTGACTTAAGAGGGTAGTAAACATGTTTCTCAGTGTTCTATTGATCTATTAAAATTAAATGTGCATTCAAAAATTTATCAAGAGAGAGTCTTTCTTATAAAAAATGGTGCCATATGAACTAACAGACAAAAATGTCCATAATGATGCATGAGGGTAAATGCCCTTATAAATGCTGATTAGAAGCCTTAAACAGATATGACTTAAGTTTGTTTACCTTAAATAGCAGAGTGACATTAGTCTGGTTTCTGTACGGATCATCTTGAAGGATCCTCCAGAAATCAGGGCCATGCTCCGGAGCTGAGAGAGACATGTGAGATGTGATTTTTTTAAAAAGGCAACTTCAGAAATGAACTCTTTCAAGGTTACCTAAAAAGGTTGGTGTTATTTTTTAAAAATGTTATTAAAGAGTGAAATGGATGATGTTTTTCTGTACCTCTGCTGTTTTGAGGTGTGGAGTAGACCGGCTCGCTCCACTTGCTCCAGTATCCAGTACCACTGGTGTGCATGCAGCGTACCTCTACCACATACACCCAGCACATGTCAGCCACGGTGACCTCCGCCTGTGGTACCCGCACAGGATCCTGGACCTGCAGGAAAGACAGACTCCTTGGTTACTCTGCTCACATTCAAGATAAAGAAAAAACTCAAGTATTGAAGGAATTGTTGGAGCTGATGGAGGACCCATCTGTTTCATCCATCTACCAAAAATGATGTCCACATCTCTCCAAGTGAATGTTGGAACGAGGAAGTTATTGATAGCATGTAAACAACTTTTTTAAATATTTTCTTTTCATTCTGAATGCAGCGCTGTGGTCTCATTTCAGCTCCTAACTGATCATGTCAACCCGACCAGTGGAGTTAATGTCAGAGCAGACTCATGAGACCTTTACCAGCTGAGTCCTGGGTAGATAAACATCTCTCTTATTGGTAGAACAAACATGAAGATTCATTTAGAAAATACAGCACCGTAAACAGATTTTTCTGCGAATCTGACACACCGTATCACTACTTCATGACTCCTCACGTTGCTGAATATAACATGAATGCTGTATAGCGATATTATCATGAATTTGGGCCACGTATGTTATCAAATGTCATGTCAGTCATGTAGCTTATAAGAATAAAAACAGGGTAATAAAGAGAAATTAAAAGTGCTCTGTGTTGAACATTATTTTTATGAAAGCCAGTGTTTGAAAAAACAAAAGCTCACCCTCCACTCCGGCTGGGCTCTCACAGGAAAAGGTGAGTGGTACCGAAACTGACACTGGACCCCCTCGCTTGGCAGGAACGGCGGCTCCCATGTGACCGCCAGGACCCGGCTGCTCTGACTCACTGCCTTCACATGAGTGGGCGCGTGCGGTTTCACTGCGAGGGGGAAAAAAATCATGAAAAGTGTAAGAATGTTTCAAGTGACAAAAGGGAGACTGAGTCTGCACAGCAAAAGAATTTAAAAAGTTGTTCTTTTTGTGAGACTGTTTCATGTTTAGAAAATTGGATATGATTTTATGTAAAGGAAAAATAAAACGGATTAATATGTATGTGATAATGTATTGTTATAATTCCTCTTCAATAACGATTCCAAAACGGCGTCATTTTTTTCAAAGATCTTTTCAAAGATAGAACCTTTTGCTATAAAGTTTGATTTAATTTGCAGCAGAAAAAACTGCTGTTTGATTCATTAAATAGATATTCCTGATTACCAGTGGGACTTAAATATACATACGATTTTTGCACAAAAAATTATTATTTATTTATTTATTTAATTTATTATTTTTTTCTCTCCTTTTTTTCGTGTGTGACTGTGATTATTTGTACTATAAAAATATTCTTTAAAATATTTTCATCCCTTCATTTCTCTTTGCTCTACATTCTTGTTTCCGTTCACTTTGTTGAAGGTTTCTTATTGTTTGTCTGCTTTTTCTTTTGTTGTGTTTTAGTCAGCGTTCCCTGTCGTCATCTTCATGTCATTTAAATTCTAACATTTTAAAATGACAATAAATTAACAATGACTGAATAAATAAAACATTGCAACTGATTTGATTTTAGAAACTCATTAAGGCTCTTAAAGCATGATGTCATGATAAATTCTTCTAAGGATTATGGTCAATGTTAAACTTTCTTTTCTTTTTTGTTATTTTCTTTTCTTTTTTTATTTTTTTATTTATTTTTTCCATTTAATCCTTTTGTACTTCCTTTTTTATTTATTTTTTATTTTTTTTAATTGAATCCTTTTCTACTTCTTTTTTATTATTATTATTTTTTATTTCTTTAACAGTATGCTTAACCTGACTATCTATATGCTTGTAAAAAGGAGGCACAAAGCTCGCTCTGGATGCTGCCTCTGTTATACGCATTTTGAATTTGCATACTGTGCATATATTTCTATGTATTGTTTCCTTTTCACCACTGGGTGTTAAAAATATGAAAAAAATGTTGCAAATATGTGGAAGTACAATGATCAGAAAAGTTAATGTATTGCAATGAAAGTATAAAAAAAATAAAAAAAATAGATAAACTTTTTTGTTCCTTGCAGTCGTGATGCGTTGCCCTCATGAGTCTGCCGTACTCACCGTGATCTATGGGGGACAGGTAGACAGGTTTAGACCTGACGGGGCCCAGTCTGGACGGGACCTCCAGCCACAGCTTGTAGCAGTTCATCCTCAGAGGCTGGATGGTGCACGTCTTCTGCCTGAATCTGACATGCAGGCAAGAAGGTCCCAGCTCCCCCACCGTCTCACCCGCTCGCTCTTTCTCTTCCATCACATCGCAGGGGAGGTCGGCCCACCTGCCAGGAACACATTTCATATGCAATGAAAAATAATTCAACGTTCATGGTCAAATTCAACTTAACAGATGTACTCTATTAGAGAATCTTATTTTACATGTTGATGTCTAACTTTGTTGTTGCTTTATTACTACACTCCACCTAAAGTTTGTCCCACTACATGTGTCTGAACTCTTAACTTAAGAGTTAACTTTCAGATTCAAATGTTTCTTCCAGACAAAAACCATGTATGTCCAAATAAAAGGATGATAAGCTAAATTTAACTAAAGTCTTCAGTACAGAATACTGTGTGATATTTTTCAAAAGTACTTTAAATAACCACAGAAGTGATTTACTCGCCTACTCCGACGGAGGATTAGGGCCACATTAAAGAAGAAAAAAAAAAGTAAATCTACGAGATTAATGTAGTAAATTTACGACTTTATTCTTGTAAATTTACAAGAATAAAGTATATAAAGTATAAAGTATTAATCTCGTAAATTAAGAGTTCGAGACCAGCCTGCAGAAAATGATGAAAGTAGAACTCTTAAAGTATTTTCCTCTGCAGACAACTTCCTCCAAGTCAGTGTGGCTCTTTCTTCAGTTTCTTGCAGTATCTTTTCAGGGTGCTGATATTTTAAGACAATGTGAGAAAAGATGATGATGTGCCAACAGCATGTGTAGTTTCATATCTGCATAAGCAACACAACTATTTTTATCTGTTATCGGTCTGCCTTGTTGAAATGTCTCATGTGCAGAGACAGTTTGTGTCCTGTTCATCATTTTACAGATAAACAAAGTCTTGCAAGTTGAAGTGAAAACTTCTCTTGAACTGTTTTTACCGACTATACAAGGAAGCCTATTTCCTTATTAGTGAAACCTTTAGGACAAGATGCTCCATGTTTGTCATTTGAGAACAGGATGCTGCTGCTCTTCTGATATAGACTAAAATAATGACTTTATTCTTTTATTCTTTAAAGACTTTAAGACTTCTACTTTCAGCATTTTCGCGCAGGCTGGTCTCGAACTCGTTAATTTACGAGATTAAAGTCGTAAATTTACTAAATTAAACTCGTAAATTTATGACTTTATTCTCGTAAATTTATGACTTATACAAAATTATTTTATTTTTTGTGGTGGTGTTTTTTTTTGTATCGTGCCCTTGCTGGCTTAATTTACATTCAGGTTGTTTTTTGTAAATCAAACTTTATTGAATACGACTTTAAGGTACAACTATTTGTTTATACTCAGTACAGGGCTGGGAAATCACATCCTCCTGTCACCACTGAACTCTTCATCCCACAGTCTCACAGAAAGAGCATCATTTAGAGCCCTTAGGGTGATCTGTCAGTGAGACAGCCCTAAGCTCTAACAGGCTTATTTGTTACAGAAACATTGTTATGACATCTTGTGTTGCTTGGAAAAAATATTCATCATCGAATAAGAGTTAAGCTGAGTCTGTGAGTGTGGAGATTAGGAGGTATATGTTGACTTGCAGTTTCATGCTCAGACTAACTTCCTAGTGTTGTTTACATGACTTTATCCAGGGTGTGTCTGTCTGGTCCTTTGTGTTCAGTAACTTCCCGGTTTTCTGCACAGTTAGTCCAAAAACAATGCCACAGCGTATACAAACATCTGATTACACTAATATTTAGAGTAAAAAGTTTATTTACCTGGATCTGAATATGGGGTTTGTCCACTGTGTGTTCTCCCAGCTACAGTCCATGGCGTTGATGTCACCGTTGGTTACACAGGTTATATCAATGGAAGCTCCTGAAACACAAAGGTAGAAACAAACAAAGAACCATACCATCAAAATAACAAACTTCACCTGAGGTAGCCTCTGTGTAGCGGCACTATTTTTACATCTTTGTTCACGGCAGCGGAAAAAAACAACAATAAAGGGAGAGGGACTTCTGAAACTCAGAGGTGAAATGCCGACTCTTAAACTGAACAGAAATGAAGTCCTTGTTATGTTGCATATAAAACGTTACTATCGTATTATGTTCAGTGTATTGGTTATTTGTGCATGCAAACAAAAAAAACTGAATTCTCAAACAAAATGCCCTATGGGGAAAAGAGAAGGTGGGTTTGTATGATGGACCCAAAACAGATGTTCTTTTCATCTCTCAAATCTTGAGAGAACAACGGGGACTTCTCGTTATCACAGGAGAGTAGAGTAAACAAAAAATGCATGGCTGCATGTCCACTTAGGGCTTCCATATAAATAAAAATACAAATCAAGCAGTTAATTAATTTTTGGATTGCGTCAATTCATAACAGCTGTTATCTCGGGAAACTTTAGAGAAAGAAACAGGTCCAGACCGAACTCTTTGTTATTTTAAAATGAATACAAATTAAAAACAATTAAATTAAAGAATAACTGTTAAATGAATCTAATCATGCTAAACAATATAAATAGATCCATCATTAAGCTTTTCCATTATTTCCACACTCAGCTCACCCTCTACATAGATCTGGCTGTACGGGATGTTCCACTCCTGAGTACACTGCAGCAGGTCGTACAGGCGAGTCTCAGAAGGACGCACTGTGATCTGGCTGACCTGGTTTGAGAAAGAAAAAGGTCAGGATCTCTTAGAATACGTTTCTAAAGATACACAGGGAAGCCATTTAACTTCGGGTCCAAGAGAGATAAACAAAGCAGAGGGAGGGTGTGTTTGGTTACCCAGCGGTTGACCGGATGGTACTGGCTGTGGTGAAGCTGCTGCTGGAAGTTGAGCACCCACACGGCCATGCTGGCGTTGATGTCGTGGTCGTTGAACACGCAGTACACCGTCACGTTCTCCCCCGGCTTGGCCAACACTTTCTCCGGGATGTAGCTCACCCCTGTACACATGAAGACACAGATCAGGTTTCTGTCAGGTAAAAAGTTTGTTATCGTATTGCTGACAGTGAGTAATAAAAAAATAAATTACAGTTCTTACAAGATGTTTGCACATAATAAAATATATACTTTCATTTTATAACGAAATATAAATAGCATGTTTAATTTGAAAGAGCTTTTCTTCTTATAACCATGTGCTATGTATATGATGTTTTGATCCAGCAGATGTCGCCCTTGAGCACCAGCATGAAACCAAAACAACTCGCGCTGCATTGTTGTGTTAGCATGCTAATGCTAGCGATCTTTATTCTGCTGGTATCTTCACACTGCATGTAAATTTACCTGAAATGAGCGTGATCTAGAAACACAGTTAAGCAGTGAGTACAGTATGTTATTCTTCTTTTCTCTAGTCCCTCAATTAAACAACTTTTATACATGAGGGGAGGAGTCAGCCGGCCGTCCTGGCGATGTAAACAAAGTGAAGATAGGACTCTGAAAACTCTGAAAACATCACAGACAGTGGGACTCGGGTGTTACACCCATTGTAGACAGTCATGACTCACAGAGTTATTTTCAGAGTATATACTTGATTTATATTATATTTAAGTGTGAAAAATCACATATAAAGACTTTAAATGAAAATAAAAAATACTTAAAATAGGGTATTTTGTTGTTATAATGTGAAACACAATACAACCAGGTTATTGTTAAAACAAGAAAATATTATTGTTTTTTTAACATGACAGGTTTGTATGTCCTGCTGCAGTCAGACTGTTTCACTAAGCCTGCTCCCAGGAGATATAACATCATATAAATATCATTCACATAATTCACTCCAACCTCTCGTGCTATAGTATCATATTACAATAACCTCTGATGCTTATGTGCAATAATAAACGGAACTTATTTGGTGCAAAAACAACTTTATGTGCATGATAGTCGAACTTTTCAATGATTTTTGTTGACGCATGATCTGAAGGGCGTGTGAGGGTGTGAGGAGGACTATGATCCAAACACCTCCACAGACGCAGCCAGCCAACAAAACAAAAGGAATGTGACTCACACACACGCAGGTGAGCAGAGCAACAAAAGGAAAGCCTCAAATTAATCAGACAAGATGTTTCATGCATCATGGTTGTTCACAGTATTTATATACAGCTGATATGCATTAAGAAACTTTCTGAGAGTCATGACTTTAGTTGACCTTGATCTGTCACGTTATTTACTTTTGTGGCAGTGTTTCTGTCGGCAACAGAAAAGTTATTGTTGCTTGTGTTGATGAGATGACTCAGAGTCTTTAAACTTTTATCCTCATCATCATGACGCACTGACATGACAGCTTTTTGGACCAGGATCAACGACAGAAGATGAGCAACACATGCACGGGTACACAAACTAGAAAACAGCGACCAGCAGACAGTTTCAAATATAACTCTTTTCAATAACGTGGCGGATGCAGACGGTCCCTTGCAAACCTTGTACTCAGGTTTATTCATGCCGGATATCCACAAACTTTTTCTCTGCAGTATTTGATGAACTTAAAAAAAGGATTCAAACGTAGTGATCGATCCAAAACCCCTTTCTAACATGTTTCAGCCTCACTTAACAAGGAGCTTTAAGCTGAATCTGTCCACGTCATAGATTTTAGATTCCTGCTTCATTTAAGTATTTTGAATTAGAAACACAATCATCTCGTCTTTTAATCAGTCGATTGAGGTTACTGTTAAACTTGAAAACATTCTTTAAGGAATGTTTAAAAAACATTTTGACCATTTTTATATCTTAAAGACACTCCTGATATCATGTCCGACATCAGGTCAGCTGATTTTTACCTCTGGTTGCATTTCCCCTCTTATTTGTTCTGTTTTTATCACCCCAGTTCTTGCCTCCTTACACTGGCTGCCAGTCAAGCTGAGGATTGATTTTAAAATACTTCTGACTGTGTTTAAGGCATTAAATGGACTTGCCCCCGCCTACCTCTCAGAACTCCTGTGTCCATAATCAGCCGGTGAGAGATCTTCAGTCATCAGCACAAAACCTTTCTGTCACTGCCTAGATCGAGGACAAGCTGCAATGGGGCTTTTTCTATTGCAGGACCAAAACTGTGGAACTCTTTGCCCTCAGACATCCGTCTCTCTCCCATAATTGGTGTTTTTAAAACTCGCCTTTAGACATATTTTAACTCAATTGCCTTTAATGTTCAGTAACCCATCAAGCACAAAAACCCATAGCTCTGTTAGTCTTGTGTTACACTGGAATTAACTGTCACTTGTTCTCTTCTTTTTTTATTGTTGTTGTTCTTGTCTGTTACTTTCTAATGCTTTGTTTCTGCGATGTTCAGCACTTTGGATCAACTATGTTGTGTTTAAAGTTAAAGTTGTGCTTCTGCCTGTCTTTGTTTTAGCACATTTATAATTGATTCTGTTGAAAATATGTGAAAACATAGAAAAATCCAATAAGAGCAGTTTGCTGTCATGACAACATAAAGCCCTTTCACTGATGTAATACTCTTTAATAAGAATCCCTCAGGCTGAAGCAAACATTTAATGAGCAGTCTGATGTTACAGCGAACACACTAAGACTGAAAGAAGACATGAACAAAATGATAGCCTCTTGTGTTAAAAGGATAATTAAGAGATGGCAACACATGACTCAATACACACTTTCAACATTTTGAAACTACTGTTATAAAATCTACTCGTGATTTGATGGTGCACGTTCAGCTCTTTGCATTTCAATCAGTCCGTTGTGTCACATTGTGAGATTTGTAGCTGGACACTAACTTGCATAACGACCTCTGAATCCACGGCTAATGGCACGGACCGTATTGAAATGAGCTCTTCATTAACAGTTTGAGCTAATGAGGTCTACTGGTTTTAATGGTTTAGCATGGACGTTCATCATCCTGAGAGTTGATTGAGGTCACTGGTGAACCCTCATCTGCAGGACCACTCAGAGAAACTGGCCGTTGAATTGCAGCCATCAGGAAAGGTT